TGGCGTGCACAGCACAAAATGAATATTCACTCTTTGCTTTGGGCCACGCTTCCGCCGATGTCTTCACGTTTATTGTGTCACAATGATTCTACATTTCTTATCGTGCAAACTGATAAGGGCTGCTCAAAAAAATATATGTATAAAAATATACAAAAAATTTAATAAATAAAAAAACCCTCAATGAAATCTTCTATGGCCATTGAGGCGCAAAACACTTTGTGCCTCGCTTTATCAGAATTTCGCGCTGACTTTGACTTTCGCAAGGCGATTAGATCGAATCGCACTCGCCAGTCAAGTTGGCATTTGCCTCCCCTAGGAGCAATGAACTCAAGTATCTGGCCTAAAATATATGCTAATGTTGGTAAATCAGCTCGGATACATTGCAGAATTGTTTTTGCCATGAAATTTACTTTTCCTTTTTACTCGTCCGTTTTTTTTTACGGGTGAAAGTTGTGCAAATGACTGTTTGGCTATTTGGCTCTTTGGCTATTGTCTAACGGCTGGTCCTGGCCCCAACAATTACCCGATCCAATTTCACGAGCACGTGTCTAATTCAATAAACTCATTTCGAAGTGGACTTTAATTGCGTTGCAGTTGCTTGGCGCAACCACAAATCAAACCAAAACGAATGCAGCTCAATTCAGCAACAACAACAACAACAACAGCAACAGCAACAATGGCAACAGACGGCCGCAACAAGAGCCTATAAATTGCAGTTGCAACTAATTTTTATGCGGCATGCAAACGAATAGTCAACTCAGGCCGAACATTGCATGGCCCCCCGGCACACCTCTTCCCCTAGCAGGCCCCCTCAGTCCCTCCCCCAGTTCGGCCCGCCTTGACTGGGCATATCATATCGCATCTCTGGAGCGCGCATATTTCCGACAGTTGCCGCTGCTGCTGCTGCACATTGCAATGTAATTTTGCTTTCAACACCTTTTTGTTGCTGCCTGCTGCATGGGGCATGCTGCATGCTGCATGCAACGTTGCTGCCAGCGTCGCCCGCTGATTGCAACCAGCGGCGTGGGCAAATAATTGCCAACAAAACAGCGAACAGCAAACAGCGGGCCAAAGTTGCTCGAGCTGCGCGGGCTCATCGCCTTGGCCAACAGCAACAGCAACAACAACAGCTACAGCTATAACGGCAACAGCAACACATTACGAATACAGCCAAGTGAAAATCACTGCACATTTCCCAGGCTGCGCTCAAGCGCTGGCCCCGAAATCGGCGCGAATATATCGCATTTCAATCACGCGCCAATCCCCGAGCTCCTGGGCCGATCTCTGCCAGGCGCAATTTACGTGAGGCCACGCAGTCACAGAATGAGAGAGAGAGAGAGAGAAGTAGAGCGAGCGAGAGAGACTGCAATTTTGCAACAGCAACAACTGCTGCTTGCAGTTTATTAAAGTTGCTGCGCAATCGAGCAGAAAGCAATGGACTGTTTATTGTTGTTGCTGTTGCTGTTGTTGTTGCTGTTGCTGTTGCTCTTACTGTTGCTGTTGCTGTTGCTGTTTTGCTGCCGCTGAACCTAACGGTACCGATTGTGCGCACAAAATGGCCACATCGTGATGGCCAAAATGCCCATGACTGCCCTCGCCGGCCTGCCCGCCCGCTCGAGCCGCAGCACGCGCCCGGCCGGCCGGCGACAACAACAACAACAACAACAGCAGCAACACTGACCGCCAGCCCCCTTCAGCCAATGGGGGCTGCATCTAATGCCGAGATTTCAAAAGTCGATTTATGCGCAAATTTACTTTTATGCGATTAGCAACGAGCGGCAAAAATTTATCGTCAAGTTTAGTCAATTTAATTGGGGCGCAGATGAGGCGGCCCAAAAAGTGGCCAATGAAGCGGAAAGGTGGCAAATGGATAAAAGCCAATGCCTCCTGCTGCCGCTGAGCGAGCCAACACGAAACACTACGCGGACAAAGCGCGTGCATTAGACAAAGGCTAAAAACCAAACCTGGTAGCAGGGCAATAAAATTTTATGGCAGCTGTTCTCAGAAGGAGCTGCATTCACCTCACTGCAGCAGCAACAGCAGCAGCGGCAGCTCAGTTGTCGCTGCCTGCGGCCTCTGCATTTGCACAATGGACTAAAATGTGTTTTGCAAAAGGGTTTGCAGACAGCAGCAGCCGTTGCAACAGCAACAGCAACAGCAACAGCAGCAACTGCATCTAGAATGCAATTTCACGTTTCGGCTTATATGTAGCTGAAGTGCTGATGCCAGCGATAAGAAATGTTAACAAAAACCAAAAAAAAAAAAAGAAAAGCAAGCAGAAAAAAGGCACAGCAACTGCTGAAGCGCTCTATAAACTGAGAGATGTCAGCTTCCATGGACATATGTGCAGAGTCTGTGCATCGATTGAGTCCAGGTCCATTGTAACTGCAGCCAAAGGGAGCTGCAAAGGGCTAAAACAAAACTCAATCGGAGTTGGCTTAAAGCCTCGCCGTTTGGCAGTCGAGTAAACAAATATCTATTTACTCAAGACTCTAATTGAAAGTATGCTGAATAAATTCGACGAATCTGCTCAAAGCTCCTGCTAAGCGTTTTGCCATATTGCAACTTTTCCTAATCTTTCATAACAATCATCGGCGCACTGCAATGCATTTCGCTCTCTCATTGTCTTCCTTAAGTTGTTTTCTTATTGTGCGCAAATTGGCAGTGCCGTTGCCGTTGGCAGCCAATCGGTCAATGGAACTAAGCCGCTTAGCTCTAATCATCAGTAATTGCCCAGGCCCAGTGGGCGAGCCCATCAACGATTCAGCTACGATTCTTAAAATGCAATGCAGGATTCGTTCTGTCAGTTAAGTATCGATGCTGGCAAATAGCTACTTGAAGGCGAGATGCGGCAGGAGTAGCAGTATCGACAGCAGCAGCAGCAGGAGTAGCGACGGCAGTATCAGCAGCAGAAGCAGGAGGAATAGCAGTAGCAGGAGGAGTAACAGCAACAGCAGCAGGAGTATAGGCAGGGGCAGCATCAGCAGCAACAGCAAAAGTAGCAGCAGCAGCAGCAGAAGTATAAGCGACAGCAAAAGCAGGAGTAGCAGAGGCAGCAGCAGCAGCAGCAGCAGCAGCGGCAATCTCAGTAGCAGCAGCAGTAGTAGAAGCAGCGGCAGCAGCAGCAGCAGCAGGAGTAGCAGCAGCAGTAGCAGCAGCAGTAGTAGCAGCAGCTTCTGCTCGTGGCAATGACAATGACGACGTCTCAATTGTTGGAATTTATTTATAAGATGCTGCTATGGCAGCAGCAGCGCCAACAGCAGGAGCAGCAGCAGCAGCAGGAGTAGCAACAGCAGTAGATGCTGCTTTTCTTCAGCTCGACTGCATTAGGAGTATTTCAAATCAGTCGCTGGCATTTGAAATGTTTTGAATTTATGACACGCCTCGATTGTCGCGTCTTTATTATCCAGTATCCTCTTAGCCTGGCCGTTGCCTGCATCTCATTTGGCTTGCATTCATTGGCGCAAGCTGCCTTTGTCCGAGTTGTTTTTGCTGTTCATAAAGTCAGCGGCAAAAGGATAACTGATTCGCTCCTTCTTCGCATTGTGCGTTGGTGGAGTCCAAGGTTAACTTAAGGTGAACTTAAAGCCAGCAACTCTCAGCTGACGTCAGCGCCAAACCAACTTGTTTGGAACATACCGAAAATTCCCAAAAAAAAAAAAAAGAAATAAAAAATCATAAAAAACTGAAAATATTGTATTTGCGCAAGGTCAGTTAAATTTGCACAGCAGCAAAAATGTTGCGATAAAATATTTGTGAATATTGTAGTGCTAGCTGCCAATTAATGATGAATGAGCAGCAACAGCAACAACAACAACAATAGCATAAATAACAATAACAATGCAGGGGCATTCAAAATCGTTGGCCACAAATTAGCTAAATGGAAAAATAGTTTTGCGCCGCATTGAAATGCCTCACGGGGCGATTATCGTAAAAAAAATAAAACCTCGTCACATTGTTGTTGCAAATTACATTGACAACAACAACATGAATGTGCGGCAAGCGCTTTTGATGTGCCTCGAGTTTAGGCTTATGCGAGGGCGTCTAATTAAAGCCGAGCCTCGCAGCTCAGAACAACTGGGCCAATGCTGACCTTCTAAATTCTTTGCATTGCCAACACATAAATGAAACCTTTTTTATTTATTTATTTTTTTTTTTAATCTCATAGACAATCAGCCGTCAAATTACTGCGAAATTGGTTTAATCAATTGAAATTAGTTAATTCTTGTATCACGGCACAAATTTCAAATATTTATAATTGTTCTACACACTTAGCGGTTCTGGTCGCTGGCGTGAGTTTCGACTGCAATTAAGTTGCTAAATGTTGTCAAGCTGTCAATTAATTCGGCTTCAATTCAGTTTTAGAGCAGACACTGAGGGTTTTCTTGGTCTTGAATTGGAATTAGCTTGTATTTTAGATGAAAAAGGTTTATAAATAGAAGCTTTAAGCAACTTTTAAGACTCTTTGACTAATAGAACTTGGATTATAAATTGCAAAGCTAATGAATTTTAAAGACTTTTTACAATGCAAACTATTTGTTAATTAAGAAAAAAAATTGTTAATTTGCATTTTAAAAATAGTTTTAGTATGTTGACTCTTTTCATTAGTTTAGTTAATTCAGCTCGATTGATTTGTGCTTTCAAACACTTCAAATGCTTTCCGAAGCTTTTCCTTTAATTCCCAAGTTAAAAAGGGATAAGCAAGAAAGTGCAACGTTTAATTTAATGCCCAAATTAAAAAGATTTACGATAGGAAAAAAAAGAACTTTTCAATTGGTCTATAGATACGAAGCAGGCTGATTTATTCAAGAATTGACTGAATACTTTTTAAAGAATAAAGTCAACGATTCCCATAGTAATTATAATTAAACTGAAAAAACATATTTAAAACTTATTTTCTCTATATATATTAATATTTGAAATTTAAGTTGCAATTCATTAAAAAGATATTTTTTTAACTTTTCACTAATCTCCTCTTTATCCTTGCTTGAATCTTACAGCTCACGGAAGCGTCCGCCCAGCGACACCTATGATTGCAGCAGCGATCAATGCAAAGTCGACGGGATGAGCGAATGCAATGCAGCATTGATTTTGATGAATCTACACAACTCGCCGAATACCGGTAGGTGGCAGCTAGCTCCTCAGCTCCTCAGCTCCTCACAGCATTCATCACATTTCTCTTCTCCCCTTATCAGTTACAGACAAATGGCTGGGCTCCAGTCCGGGCAGCAGCTCGTCAGCCTCCTGGAGCTCCGGCTCGGCCTCGCCGCCGCTGAGCGATGATGGAAATGCGCTGCACGGCCACATCATCTTGTCGCCACATGATGCGGCCAATGCATCGGCCAATGCACGCATACGCACAACCTCGGTGTCCACATCGGACGAGGGCATTGTCATCGACTTCAAGGAGGAGCGCAAGAAGAAGGTAGGTCACTCACGCAGTCCACTCAGATTAGATCAAAGGAATGCGGCCAGCCTTTTGGCCAAACAGAGCGCAACGGCACTAAATTTGTTGCAATTTAATTGCAACTTTGTATTCCGATTTTAATTGCTATAATTATACTTATGTAAATGTCGCTGCATCATTTCTCTTAATTTTTTTTTTTTTTTTTTTAATTTTGGCAAGCCTCAGCAAAAGTGACAAGGCATACGAAACACGCGGCGTATGCTTGATTCGCATCTCGATTCATTACACGAGACGGGCGACAGCGAAAAGTCAGGAAATTAAATAAATACTGAAAACGAGCCCATAATAAGAGCACATCAATCAAAGGGCAGCGTCAGCAGCTCGTTAGCTGTACGGCCATGAGGCATACACACACACACACTCACACACATATATGGGCATATATATGTAGACACGCACACCCACTCTGTTGACAAAAATCAATGAGCAAAAATTCAGACTGCTACACTCTCCCCCACTCTTTGTCTCTTTCTCTCTCTCTCTCTCTCTCTCTCTCTCTCTCTCTCTCTTTCTGTTAAAGTTGTAGTTAAAATATTGCTAACAACTTTATGAATTATGCTTTAAGACTCGAAAGTGTTCCACAGAAAGAACATTTAAGAAGCTTACGCAACTTTGAGCCGGTACCAGCAGCAGCAGCAGCAGCAGCAGCAGCAGCAGCAGCAGCTCTGCCACTCCACTTCAGGTTTGAGTTTCGTAAATATTCGCGCTGAAATTGGTTTGGTCAACTAGTCAGATATATATTCTATATACATATATATATATATATATATATATATAAATACGTATGTATATACATTTCATTTTTTGTATGCTTTGTCAGCTCGTCTTTCGACTTGTATGTGTTGCTTTTAAGGGCTCTCAACAAACACACACATACACTCACACACACACATACAGACGAACGACTGTGTTTGGGATACATATCGAAAATTGAGCAGCGGCAACATTTTGTCGAGCATTCGCTAACCTTGAATATGTGATTAGATTTTATTTACACTGGCACCGCCGTAGGGCCCAGCTCGCTTGGGGAGTGCTAAGGGCCTGGGGGGCGAGGCACGGTGGGGCGTGTGGTGGCCAAAGGTTGGCATTAATGATTCACTGATACTAACTGATTTGTAATTATTTGCGTCAAGTGCTATTCGTGCAGTCATATCTTATTTTAGCTGAGCAAAAACGTTAATAGCTGCAGTCAAATTAGTTTGTAGTCAATTTTGTTTACTTGCTGGCAAAAACTTTCAGCTGGTGTCATTGTTATTATTATTATTATTATTATTAGTTTGGCTTTGGTCTCCTTTCCCTTTGGCTCTCTTCGACTTTCACTTTGCGCCATGTCCGGCTGATTACCTGTTGCACAAGCGCAATCATTCAAAATAGAGCTGCAAATGCCCGAAATTGTCGTGCTTCCGGTTGTCAGTGGTCGAGCGGTCGAGCGGTCGAGCGGTCGACTGGTTGAGCTTATGTGTGTCAGGCCACGCCCATCGGAGCAACTAAATGGATTTGCGCCCAATTGCAAGGCGGCCTATTTGAAAGACATTTGCTAGATTTCCGCATAATCTCGAACGGGTAGGCAGAAGCAAACACAAAACAGACAAGCTGCCACAGATATGTCTATCTCACTCTCTCTCGCTCGCTCTCTCTCTGTCTCTCCCTGTGAATAGATAAGTGGTTAGATGGATAGCTGTGGCTGTGGCTGTGGCTGTTGCTGTGGCTACGCAAAATGATCTCAGTGCCTGGCATTGAGTGTTTTTTTGCCTATTTTCTTGTTGTTTTTTGTGCAAACTGCAATAAATGCAATTAATGGGTAATTGTGCGCAATTATTGCCGCTGTCGGGCGAAGGGAAGCGCTGCAATCGCTTGACAGCCATGGCCACGTGGCGTATACGTAACGCGCATTACTCATACGCACCATATGCCACGCTCTGTGTGTGTGTGTGTGTGTGCGTGTTAAACGCTTTGTCTGCCTGCAGTTGAGCAGCCACAAAGTGTTTGGCACAACATGGCGCATGATTAACCTTCATTACTCAACCGAGCGGCGAACGTTTGTAAATTACTCATACGCCATGATGGCTTTTGTTTTCTGTCGGTTTGTGTGTGTGTGTGTGCATTTGTGGTAAAAAAAAATGATTTTAAATGCAGATTTATGTGCATTTAACAACAGCAGCAACAACAACAACAGCAACAGTGACAACTGCAGCCACAGCCGCACTCATGGACTTTTGCCTTTTAATCAAGGCTGCGATTACAAGGCAACTGGCAGGCCAGGCAGTCACAGTCGTAAATTGCCCTGCACAAGCTCACAAGCTCACGAGCTGCTGTGGCTGGGCATTGAGGCCGTTGTCAGGCAGTCAAGTGCATGCCGCAAGACTTGCCAAACTGTTTGCGCTTTGACATTCTCAAAGGGGAATATCAATTAGTCCAGCTCTATCAAAATGCTTCAATTGACAAATTTCCTCCCAAAAATTGCGAAAGCTGTGAAAACTTTGCTGCAAATTTCCTGCCGCCAATGCATTTGAATTGGCTTGCTGCCTTTGTGTATTAGTGAGCGTGTGTATGTGTGCGTGTGTGTGCCAAGTTTTTGCTGGCATTTGTGCGGTATAGACCCGGCTAATTGCATGTTCTATGTATAAGCTATGCGAAATTTGTTTTACGTTTTTGCGGCTCTTTTATTTTTGCTGTCGTTGCTTTGTTTGTGTTTTTATTTTGCTTTTGTTATTGTTATTGTTTTTGTTTTCTAACTAATTTGTTTTATAACAGCGACAGCAGCAGCGGCAGCGGCAGCGGCTAATGCTAACAAAAGCAAGCGCAAATTATAGTGCAAAACAAGGCAGACAGCGCGGCGTGTGCAATGCGCTGACATTGCTGCAGTTCCGCCAAGGGGGCAGATGTTCAGCTGAGAGAGAGAGAGGGTAGAGAGGGAGAGGGGGTGATGGCGAGGGGTTGGGCTGGCCGAGCTGGGGCTTAGCCTAATGGCAGACGAATAGAGGGGCAGGGGCAGTGCTATTGCAGTTTAGCTTTTGCACTGCTGACAATTTCAAAGCAACAACAGCAACAGCAACAACAACAACAATAGCAGATAAATGCACTCGACGCTGCCAGCCAACATGGCGCGGCACACGTGTCGCATTAGCAATATCTATGTATGCGTGTGCCTGTGTATGTGTGTGTGTGTGTGTGCGCGCGTGTGTGCTGGCAGCTTAGCCTGCATTTGCCTTTTTCGACAGCGAACCATTTGTGCATTACTTCTGACAGACTGAAGTGTGCTCGACTCTGTGGCAGCAATTGCTCAATGTGATTGATTTTACAAGTTTCCCACACACACACACACACACACAATCCAATTCAATTGTTGGCTATTATAATGCGCCTAATTGATGTTAGCCCAATTCAAAAACTAATTGAACTCAACTTGAATTGCTGCTAGATCAAAAAAAAAACAACAACAAAAATGTTGATGCTCATTTTTACAGGGTATTGATGCGCCTTGCACACTATTCATATGCATAGACTGCTCGTCTATTTACGAATTTTGTTTATTTTTGTTTTTATGATATTTCTAAATAAGCTTAAATTTATATTTATGATTTTCGCTGTGCACTGGCATTGTCACACATCGCGCCATCTCTTTCTCTCTCTCTCTCTCTCTTTTTGTCACACTCAGTAGGTGGCTTTGTGTGTATCTCTTACTGTTGAATAGATTTTGCAGCATTCACCTCAATTTTTGGCTTTACTATGTGCATTTATTTTTAACCGGAATGAACAGAAATATAGCAAAAATTTAATTAAAAATTGTACAATTCAAGTGGCTGTGTTTGTGTGTGTGTGTGCAGCAACCTTGAAACAACATTCACTTGGCAAGCACACACACATACACACGCACACACATAGAGAGGGAAACAGAGATTGGCAAACAGCTTCGGCAATGCCTTTGGCACTTGATTCATAAGCCAACGTCGTATTAATTTCACTCATATGGCAAAATAACCTTGAATTCTGATTAGGAAGCAATTTAAATTTATCTATCAGTCATTTGCTGTTGACTTTATTGAATTATTGGAACTCAGCCATTATTATTATTATACACTTAATTGTGCTGCTAAAAAGCTCAATTTAGTTAGCGGAGCAGCGGCAACTTCTCCCGGCTGCGTTTATCATTTGTAAGTCATTAGCGCAGCAAATGATTTGGCGACTAGAGTCGCTGTCAGCGTCCCCCTCGTCGTTGTTTGATTGGGCAACACGGGGCGTATGAGTAATGACTGCGCAACAGCTGAGCGCACCGTGCCCGACTGTCTGCCCACACAGCGCATTGCGAAACAATCGCTAAATGGACAATTCCAAAGAATTGAATTCCTCAGTTATATCAAGTCTTGCCCGGGGGAGCTGCCATGGAATTGGATAAGCTCTTTGCTAACTGACCAAAGGTAAACGAGGCAGAGCTTGCATGTGTGTGTGTGTGTGTGTGTGTGTGTTTGCTTAGCTCCCAATTTATGTGTTTTTCAAAATTGAGCGTAAAGCTGTCAAATGCATGAAAAAACAAACCGAAAAGTGCAACAACTCGAGTAGCGGCGGAAACGCATTGCCAGAGAAAAGAAAAACTTGCTACTTGCAGCAGTGCGCAACAATTCGTCTGCGTCACTGGCAGCAGGAGTGGCAGCAGCAGCAGCAACAGCAACAACAGAAGCAACAGCAACAATAAGCAAACAAAAGTCAGTGAAGCGCAGTAGTCATATGTGCCTGTGTGTGTGTGTGTGGGTGTTTGGGAGAAACGAACTCATAAATTTATCATAATTGCAAAAGGCAGAAAAATGTGACTGAAATGTGCAACAACAACAACAGCAACAGCAACAACAACTGCAAATGCAATGAATATGAAAAAGTCGTAAAGCAAAAATGCAATAAAAATAATTTGCCATAACAGTCGAGCAGCAACAACAACAACAAAATGTATGTGTATATATGCG